GCCGTGCCCGCCTACTGCACAAGTTTAAATTAAAACGCAAAATGTATCTTTCTTTACAATAGTTTCTACGAAGTAATAAATAAGATTGACCGATTTAAAAACACACAGAGCACATAGGTATATAAATGATGTTCTCATTATATATCGATGTAGATCGGTATATAATGTAAAAAACCAAGGTAGATATTTCCCAAAAAACGAGGCTCCAGAATCGGTCGGCAAATGATGTGATGGAAATTTAAATGCAACTGTCGTTTCTAAAATCTCCTTAGCTACATTCTATCCACTGAAGTCCAGATAACTTATGGAACCTGAATAACATTATCATTTCATAAAATTTTGATTCAGTAGTAAAATCTTGAAATTTAGTAGAGCTCCTTGTAAAACAGTTCGTCCAGGGAACCTTACCTATTGCTGCCGCCACGCAGTAATGTAAGCATTACTGCGTGGGCGATAAGGGTGCTGGTGAAATTACAGGCACATGGGTCTTGTCAGCTTATGTCTCAGGTGACAGCGGCAGTGCGCTTCAAACCTTTGCTGTTTAAAGCCCTGAGTGGCACTGCAACCGTTATGGATAGGAGTGTGTTAGCTTACTATCAGGCGCACGAATTGTTCGTCCCGTCACATAATACTATAAAAAAAATTATTTTATATTGTTTTTTAGTAATGAAACGCTTTTATTCTGACTGTTCGTTTCAACATCCAATAATGCTATCACATTTAGAAGCCGTAATTGTAGGAAATGGCTCAGACCTTGCATGCAGATTGCTACCGCGTCCTACAGTCTAACTACAATTATTTAGCAATTACTTTGCCAACTTTTTATTTCATGCTCGGTTTTTTGCTTCGTGCCCTTAATTAATTAAAACTTTTGTATGAATTTCAATTACGCAAGGTTGTATAGAACTCTGAAGTAAAACCATATGAACACCAATAAGAAGTTCAAACTCAAACTTTCATTTTTCATATTATAATGTAGATAAAGACGGTAAGAAAATTGAGTACCTCTACCAGGACCTTACAATGTCAATAGTCGCTTATGGCACGTAAAAATTTTACAATATTATATAGCAAATTGTGAAACTCTCCTAATTTTTACACAAATATATATATCTAGCAACCATTCGCATCGATTGTAGGCACTTATTAGATGTACCTACACGTAAATTAGATCATTATAATGTGTATAAGTAGAAGCAAATACAATTTTCTCACTTCATCTTTTCATTGCGATAACGTCACAAATACACGAATTATTAACAAACAAAAACGATTCGCACTAATTCAATTTACACATTAGGTCCAATTATAAAGTGCTCCTTCAACTACCTAAGAAATGTTGTTTATAAATGATTACGTAAGCCAGAAATATTTACGGGCATAAGTAAGGAATTGTAAAACATTACGTATAATACTCAAGAATTCAGAATGAGGGATCGTCCACAGAAAAGATAAGCCTACTATATGACTTTAATCCGGAAAGGAAATTCCCACATTTCTAAAAAGTCAGTTGTTCATCGAATCAGTTGTTTACTAGAGTAGTTAAGAATTAAATCCTACATGATGCAGTCTTTTGTTATCAGTAAGATTTAAGACGATTAGCGAATGTAACAGATTGTGGCTTAGTCACGTGCGACACTAGACGGGTACCAGAAGGACATTAGAGTAAAAAGTGCATCGACATACAAGCACAGTAAAAATGGTAACAATACAAGCAATTCAGCTTTATTTTAGATTCTGGTATTTCCCAGAATTTTCGGCCTTTTGATTTTCGGATTAAATTAGTCATAATAAATAAAAAAATATGTGCCCTCGATATAGTGAACTCATAGACAATTGAAATGAAAAAGTGTTTCTCAAATGTGAACTAATGAAATAACAATTTACAAATTAAAAGTAAGAATGATGCCAACAGTATGGCAATATAACTCAACGAATAGATTCAATCTGCGTCTTATTTAAGTACGAGCGAAGTTTGCTTTCGTATTAACGATGAATCATAATCAGGCTGAATAACTTTGCAATCTGATCAGAGCGGGCGCAGAAATGTGGATCTTATCAGTCGAAAGACCATTTCAAATATCGTCGGCTTATTGCAAGAAGTCATTATTGCCATATAAATTATATGGCAATTAATGACTTCTTGCAATAAGCCGACGGTATGATCTATTTCCCTTAGGAATGTAGGAATAAAATATTCAAGTGGGGCATTTAATAATTTTAACGTCTTGTCTGTGCAGTCGCAATAATTTGTATCTTATCTTTTGAAGGCCGATTACAATGTCATCTAATTTCGAATAAAGTGGAAAAAAAAATGTATTCGACAGGGACTTGAGGTTACATACACCATCAGTTATGAGTAGACAATCAAAGACACATTGACGGCTAGTGTGGCAGGATGGGACTTAGTATAAAATTCTAATTTTTATTTAAATCATTCCACAGTATTTAATATGTCAAGGGATTAAGTTGCTCCATTTTATTTACAAATGGTCGTCTATTGTTTTGAATATAAACGTTATTCATATCGACCTTATTGTATTGCTTACAATCACGTCGAAACGTGGCATATCATACTGCTCAACGATAAAGGGCACCATCGTCAAACGTGTTCGACATTAGTTTTTATTGTTATTATTAGAACAATTGAACAAATAACAAAATTATGCAGAATGGATTTCAAGTGTTCTAGACAAAAATGTTTGTTTGAACGACATTAAAAATCTTTATATTAAAGTAGAAGTCGCTTTCTCCAAACGGGATACGACTTTCTTTAAACTAAGGTTTGAAAAACAGCTCACCGCTCATCAGACAGCGGAGTAGCATCAGCACTTACAACTTCCCCATATTGAAGGGTCCTGATGGTCTTATGAGAGTCTATCAGGATGCAAGTGATAGATCGTAGCGCATTTCCTATCACTTTTCATACAAATAACCGCAATAATTAAATCCTAACCTAGCCATTAAGTTAGTTTTGCGAGTATACTAACATCATCGGACCTCAAAAAACGTTGTCCGAATAAATAATTATACTATTGTTATTTAACAATAAACATTAGAAGTGGTATAATGAACATACATTGAAACTTGTCTGCGAATTCGAAAGTTCTAGAACAAAAGCTGTTTATTAATGTCGGCGAGCGAAGATCGAAGTTGTATACAATGAATTATATAACCACGATAACAATATTAAATGATAATATTTGAAATGTAAAATTACCAGCGCTGTGCCAATTTCGTTCGATAATTTTTTGGTAAGATAAGTCTTGAAAACGATGACGATTGGACCAGTGACAATGATCGGCGCCATGCCGACGGGTAGATAATGATATCATGCATTCCATGTCATATTTACCACGCCATAGTAATCTAGGTATCTAACTATATGTAGAGAGCTGTAAGGAACACATCTGAACAAATTCGATACAAGTTACAAACATCCATGATGTGACAAAATTTTGAACGCTAATTAATGGAATATAATAATTGAGTAGCAATAGAGTGCGAGAGAACGCAGTAATGGAAGCATTACTGCGTTCCGGTTTTGAAAGATACCGTTCCGGTTTTGAACTGGTGAAATTACAGGTATATATTTAACTGCCTCTTTTTTTATTTATTTAACTGCCTCTCTGGCCGAACGGTTACCATGCCGGACTGCCACGCAGAGGTCCCAGGTTCGATTCCCGGGCCGGGAGAAATGTTTGTATGGCCTACATTTATTTCTCTCGTGAGTTTGGGTGTAATTTGTGATTGTCTATGTGTGTGTCCATGGCACCCGCGACACAGGGTTTCCCTAGTGCGGGGCTATGTTGAGTGTGAGCGTTATTATATGGAAAGTGTTCTCTGATCGCCTAAGAGTGACGGGCGCAGTGACAGTGTTCTTCAGATCTTTGCGATTAAAAGCTGCAACTGCTATGGATAGACGTGTCGTTAACCACCAGGCGCATGACTTGTTCGTACTATCAAACGGTATCATAAAAACAACGTAAATATCAATTAGAATTAATACAATAATCCATAGACAAATACATACAGTCTAATACAAATATTATTATGTACCAATGAACTAACGCACATATTGTCCATAAAAATGTTTCTTCAGGAAACAAACAAAAAACACGTAGAAAAACACCACTACGTATATCAACGGACAAATAAAGGAAACACGTCAAACAATGAAGATAATACCATATATTTTTGGTTCAAATTGTCGTAATAGCAAACATAATTACATGTTCACTCGGCATTTGACCATGAGTATTGACATTGGCTTTGACACCGGCTAAGAACCAGATAAACTACCAGTATTTGTATTAAAGATAAAGTTACGTAGACGTCAAGTAATGAATGAAATGAAACAAATTATCGACAGACGGCTAAACAGGCTATTATGAACAACAATACATCAAAATAGGCAAGCGTACTTCGTAACAAGCCTGCGAAATTGCCTCTGTAATTAATGCGGCAAAGTAAACACATTTTAATTAATCTTAAGTCGTGCCAGTACATGCTCTCCCAGGCCTAACTTTAGACTCTTAATACCAATCAGCAAATAAAACTTCATGTTCTTAAATATTGTAGCTAGCAGTTAACTACGAAGGAATGTATAATTACTATTCCACGTCATAGTTAATTGCGCGCCATTAAGTGACCTGCAATGTACGATGATTGATAAAGAAATAGAACGTGAAGAACGACTCGCTCGAAAAAGCTTCAATGTGTTAGTTAGCTAACCTGTTGCTTCCAGAAAAAGTGAAACGAAACGAAAGTAGCATTGTAAACTTAAATAAGGAATATGAAATGCAGTTACATATTGAATGACAAGACATTCTATTACCTGGTCACCTAATTTGACCATATCCAAACAACGAAGGCCAGTCGACGGTGAATTCCGCTGCAGTTCTACTTTGGTCACGCTCGCAACGCACTCGGGAATTTGTTTTTAACGCGCCAGAAATGCGGGACACCGATGTTAATGGTGACACAGAAACTTCACTTACATGTATCCGGCTCGGCGGATGGGATAACAGTTATTGGAACACGAATTAAAGTTAATGAACAGGTAGACGAGGAAAGTAACAGAAACAATCGTGCACACGCAACAGGAGCTGTCGTAGTAGACAGTGTTGGAGGTTAAGCGTTTACATCGCAGCGGCTCGACACTGCCCGTGTCGCAGTCGTGTGTAGACTGGTGTTCCTCAGCGACCGCGCCGCCCACTGCCTGCCTCCGCCGCCACTCGCAACGTCACTCGTCGCCTGCGGAGCGCTATCGTCAACCGCCAGACACATACATCGTCGTCGAGGAGCACGATAAATTGGGTACTTTAAAATTTAAAAGTTCACGCCTGATGATAATCAACGCGACCATTACAGAAGTTGTGTATTCATTGACCAGCTAAGATATCTGATTTAAAAGACTAAACAAAACTCAAGGAGAAAATCGTAATCTAAACAACAAAGGTTTAGTTACGCCAAGCCATAGGAAACAGGATCCAGGTTAATTAATGGCGGTGTACTACAAAGTAAATAAAAGTTCTGTAGTATTACAAGCCTAAACTATAACATTGTAAGAATTAGTACAGCGGCGATAAGGAAAGTGGCACGTGGTCGGTGTTAGTAGCTAAATGGGGCGCAGCTGCAGTTACCAAGCGCAAGATTACTCGCTTCTGGGCAAGAAGATTCAATTAGTTTCGACGCGTCTCGGTCACATTCTAAAAATAGTACAAAAACCTTTTATGCGAATCTGAGCCATCAAACCCTCAATTGACGCAAGTTTCTTACGTCAACCATAAACGTTGTACTTTTAAAGGACAATCCTCAATCGACAATTTTTTATGGACGCAATATTCTACGAATAGAACATTTTTAGAATAAAATTGGAAGTTTACATTAAAACTTGGAGTGTGTCCACAAAATTTGAACACCAATGCCAGATGTCTATCTCAAAATATTCCACATTCATGGACGCGAAGACTGTTATATTTCAAAATGTTCTATCGTTAAACAGTCAAATGTCTGCAAAAATATCAGCTTCAATTGTTTTGACAAGACTTACAGCAGGAATTAGGAGAAACATATTAATCATGAAAACAATAGGTACTCAAGTGGACAAAATTTTTCGTCTCTTTGCAATTACAAAACGTCCTCCAATTAAACATCTTTAGAAGCATCATGGTATTGGTAAATATTTTAGAACCATTCAGAAAGCGAATCTACTAATTTAACCCATAATGATGAAGTAAATCCCAAATATTTACGTAATTAATCATAGGCTGAGATTTGAATCATTTGCAGATTTTTGGCATCCTAAGATCCTAACATATATTCTTTCAGATCTTATTATTTGTTACAATTACCGTCGAATGTAGTATTTTTATGCTTTAAAAGCAATACCCTTTCACATATATATAAGTATAATTACGTTAGTGATAAAACTAAGCTATATTGTCATGAACCCAGGAGTGTTTATTACACAGGTTTAATAGTAATAATAACACCACACGTACTTCGTGTAACAGAACATGACAAAGTGAGAATGGCTAATTAAATGGCACAAATGGATGTATGCCACACGTGTTTTTATAGCAGGATTATAATTTCAGCAACATTAGATGTCATACTATAGCATAACACAAAACTTTGTAGGTGGTCCTATTGCCCCTGTGTTGAAACCTTTCGATACAAGAAGCAACACTCAAGTTGTCGGCTCGTTCAAGAGAAGAAGAGTTTCCAAGTCATTTGCGGGTTTAATAAAGGACACAGGATCACAATTACTAACCTAAATATTTATTTTGTAAACGAATATTTATCGTTTACACGACGCCAAAATAATACTCTATTTAACACAATTCGTTGTAGTAGATACGCAATTATACCATGACATGACAACTATAAACTGAAGATCACTTAGTTAAAGACTTGAGATATCTCAAAACTTTGACATCTATTAAAGTATTCAAAGAGATATTCGGTGATCGACGTAAGTGTAAATGTGGATGTATCTTAATCTCCTATTAGTCGAGGCATTATTTTAGTAAATTTAAATATCTTCGTATTCTTTCAGGTTACGACTTCCTCGAAAGTGGGGTGCACGTGATGAAAACACGTGACGTTTTCCATCAACGTGAGCTGCGCATAAAAGCCGTTGGCTATTGTTGGTAACTTTGAAACTCCCACGACCAACGTGTTTGCGAAATCTTAGGAGAACGCTACGAGGCAATCTGCGCTAAATTGGGACTTATTTTGTAGTTGACGTTGAAAAAATATGTCAAGTTCATGATATAACGCTGCGCTTTTTAGTCCAAAATATTGATAATTTAAAATAAGATTTACATAATGCAGTAGAACAAACAAACTTATAACAGCATTCGCGAGTCTCGCGTTACTAAAACAAAGCGAAGGTCAAACAGAGGTTTCGTCTAATTGCGAGTGCCAAGGCAACAGGGCCGGGTGGTAATAGCGGGCGTTATCGTTTTGTTTTTCAGCATTATTTTGGTTTCTAGAGCGAGACTGCTGTGCAGATAACAAATACGACAATATTTTAGATTGGGTCAAAACTAAGGACATCTAAATGAGATAAAATAAGTCGTTACAGTGATAATATTGTTATCGGAAGAAGGATTGCAACTGACAATAAAAAACAAGTGCAGGTATTTTGTCTCCAAATAATAATCCGTTTTATGGATCCAACTAAGGTGGTAAATATTGTGAAGCATACAATTCAAATCGAGAACGCCATAACATTAACATGGGAATTATTATTTGCAGCGAAAAGTGAACGTGTAAGTACTATTAGTATACTCATACCTGTACAGTAGAAGGGGTATTGCAAATCAACTTTCACAAAGCAAATGCTTGCGAACCCACGCGACCAACTTCGCAACAATTTATTTCGTCTAAGAGACACTCAAAATATCTATTCATGGAAATGAGACCGTGCTAGGCTCCATCAATACCCAGCCTTATTACCTTATCATGAATAATTTAAATTTGTCCGAACATCCATATTTCGAAGCTTTGCCACCATTAAACTTCGTGTCGTAAAGAAATGATGTTCAGAATTTTGCGAACTTTTAAATAAAGGGGAGTCGACCAATGCTCTTAATGTTTATGGACGTTTATTAAAAGCATTGACGGGGGAATATTATTGAGCTGGTACTACAAGCCACGCAATTGACGTGACTGACATTCAACGAAGTAAATCACTAAATATCTGAAGGTCGCGCACGACAAGTCCCTACTGTGTCTACTGTATACGTTGGAACAATAAATGAGAAATAATAAGCTATAAGAAGATAACACTAAGACTTATATTCATGATTTTCTAATCAGCTCTTACAACTACTGTTGCAATAAAAAGAAATAGGCTTAAGGTACACATTTCTGTGAAGAAAACGTCATTTTCCGCGAACAGATAGAGACGAGCTTGTCTTATACTTAATTTGCAATTACAAGAACTAGTGTTTATTTCTTCACAACAAGTCTCGCTTGTTTAAATAATGCCGCCGTGCTAGGTTGAATATTGACATTAGCGCACAATTATAATAAATTTGTAGAAGTTTTAGAAGATATTAAAGATAAAATTCCAACATCCCATCAAAACCCGAATTAATAAAAGTTTTTGGCATAACAAACAATTGTTTAAATTTATGTCAGTGTTATTGCTAAGTGAGGTCCTTAATGTCTGGCGAGGTGCAATGTGGGCATAGTGCAACGGGAAGCGGGTCGCGACCCACTTTCCCAGGATCAATACTCGGTCATCGACTCCGCCCGCAGTCCCCCCATGTCTGCCATAAGACTAGGGGATTAGACCCGTAATGTGTTTTTAAGAAGTGAAAACCTTTATATGGCTTGCAGCTCTATTCATTTCCATTGCAAACGTACACGTATTGAGTTGAAAGTTAATCAGTTTCAAATAGAGTAACAAAATCCTTAAAAACAGCTTCTGACTTAAATTATAAACTTCCTGAAATAGAAGCAAATTGAAGCAGAGTGTAGTACGAACAAACACATAAAAGTATATGTTGAAGTCCTGTAAACAGCTTTTGAAGAAACCCTTTCATGTCACGCATCACTGTGTATTTCTATTTTAGGAATTCTAGGCATTAAACAGCTTTTTTATCATGTCTTCATGTTAATGAGAGAGATATTTTTGCAACTATATCCGTGCCTATATGCATTTTAATAACAAAGTTGCTGACACCTGTAACAGAAACTACTGCTGTTAGCGACTTTCCGTTATCATTTTTGTTTGTACTTTCTGTTCCTTCCTCGTTATAAACATTGTTTTACTTTTCAAGAATTGTCACTATAATTGTGCATGTATTACCTTAACTCCGAAAATTTCATACAAAAACATGTCTACGTAATTGCTGTTTACCTTTTCAGTGAGCTACGTCAAAGGATTTTTTGCGATAGTCATTCCCAATGACTCACTCACGACGAGTCATAAATGTGCTGTTTAACTGTATAAAAAACAACTACTACAATTATTTCGCGCCTAACAGTCATTATTTGAAACAACTATGTTGTAGTCTACTAATCAGGAAATATTCTATTTCAATTAATTAAGTCCAATTTCCGTCCCAAGGTTAATACGATAACTTTTATCTATGGTAGTTAAGAGATAGGTTATCTAGTAAATTGGTAAATTTTACATCCAGATTTTATCTTGCTATTAAGATTGAACTGACAGTTTCAGTAATATTTGCTATCAAGAATTTGAATTCAATGAAATAACTTCGTCGAATAACTTAATGTGGTAAACATATATAACAGCAGTAGAGCTCCTTGTGAAAGAGTTCGTCCAGGGAGTTACTGCCACCTTTTTTTTTTTTTTTTTACGGGGGGAAATCTTTATGGATACCCCTGAGCCCAGGGAGACTCAGGGGTTATGTGGGGACTCTCCCTCCAGGCTGGAGGGCCTACCCCACTAAAACCCCCCCCGGGTTTCCCTCTCGCCGGTTGAGTCGGCGCCGTGGGATCAGTGAACATTCACCACGACGGAGTTACTGCCACCTGCCGCCATGCAGTAATGTCAGCATTACTGCGTTCCGGTTTTGAAGGGTCCTTACCCTTGTTGGTGCTGGTGAAATTAAAGGCACATGGTATTTGTCAGCTTTTCTCAGGGTGACGGGCACAGTGGAAGTGCCCCTCAGAT